GTGACACAGTGAGCTGTACCGGGTTCAATTAAAGAAGTACATCTGGAGCAGCTCTCTGGGGCGTTCTCTCCTCTGTGTTCCAGGAGGTGCAAGATATGTAAGGTTCTTTAGCAGTGCTTCCCAGATTCACTGACCAAATCAAACCAGGCCAAATTAAGATGCCCTGTAAGACAGTACAATCTGGAAGTGGCCACATGAGGATAAACACTCATTTCACAGGCTGTGATTAGCTTTATTGTGGGCTTGAGATGGTGTTTGGCCCCCGTTGTGACATATTGCACAGGGTGCATATTGTACATCTTATTTTGGGTAATAGGTGTGAATAAATGTACACATGATGATAAAAACATGTTGGAGATGTGTATCTTATCCCTGTTGACAAAGTTCCCAAAATCAAAATACACAATCCCTGATTTATGCTCAGTTAGATTGCTGTTACTCATTATTTGCTGGACTGGATCTTTTGTATAACTTGTTTGAAAGCATTACCGCTATTTTGGCTTCCCTGCAATAGATTCCTGGGCCTACTGCCACCTCCAGGTGCATGGCTGGGACCTCTCCTGGGGTCAGGGCCTTTTGCTGATGCCACTGCTACCATGGCAGGGGTTGGGGCAATTCCGGGTGCAGGTCTGAAATGGCCACTGAGGGCAGAGCATGCAACCACTCGTTTGGTCGGGGCTCAAGCTCACAGCTCTGTCAGGAGGAAGGAATGACGTGGCCGCTGTTTTGGCTCACATGGCAAAATTGGTCTGGCCCAATGACAGCCCACTCACACTAAGCCCAGATACAGTAATGAATTATGGCCCACATGTGGGCCAGATCTGGTAGCTGCTAACTTATGGCCCATGATATTGCCATATCTCAACTGTATGACCATAGCTGACCCTATTCTGGCCAGCTGGACCAGACAAGTTTCAGCACTGGTTCCAGATGTCAGCTTCAATTAAACCTTTGACTGCCAAAAACCAAAATAGAGTGCTGAAACTTTTCCAACACAGGGCCAGAATAGAGCCAGCTATGGTCATGCAGTTGGCTGAGATATGGCTATGTCATGGCCATAAGTGGGTACCACATCTGGCCCACATTTGGAACATAATTTGTTGCTATATTTGGGCCGTGTATGGGCAAGACCAGTTTTCTCTAAAATTATAGTAGTTCTGAATCAAACCAATAAACAATGAACATCACAGTCATGATGTCTTTGTACAGTGAAATGACTTGTGACTTGTGGTGAGTGACTTACTGTATTGTACAGTAATCAAGAATATGTAATCTTTATGAAATGATGATGCAAATATTCTTCAGAAGCTTCAAAGGTGCAGCTTGCTGACACATGTTTGTCTAACTTCACTTATTTGTTTGCCCATCTGACCTATTTTTAGGATGGTTCTGAGATAAGAACAGTTATTTTGGCAGTTGTAGAATACAATGTTATCATAAATGATAAAAATGACTACTTTAAGTCAACACTCCCTCTTATATTTCCTCTCTTTCCTATCAACTCCAAACTAAAATTGGAGTTTGAGATGCACTTTTTCCTGTGAGCCAAAGGCAAAGTCATGAAGTTGAATAATAAAGACCCCATATTCATCTAATGCAGATATGTAAAAAGAAAAACTGACATGCAGTGAGACCTGAGGGTGGGGGTAAATGAGAGAGAGAAAGATAGACAAAGATAAATAGATGACTAAATCCTTATGATGTCAAGACTATACACAGTCAGAGTACAAAAAGTCTTTAAGAGAAGAGAGGAAATAATCTCTCTACAGTTGCGATTTTTCTATTTTTTCTATTCCTCATATAATGCAGGGTTTGAGTTCATTATCTCACTCCAGCTCTGTACTGTGCTGTGAGTAATTCATGGTTTCAAGGGTTCGAATCAGACAGTGCAGTTACTTTCCAACATTTTGACTTGGGCAATTATATGGGGCCATCTGGGGCTTTCAAAATTAATAAGTAACCTTATTAACTCTCTCAGTCAAAGTTGCCTTGTTTCTAATCTATTTTGCTATCACTTCCTCTACTCTGACTCACTGTAAAGGGCCCCATACACTGGGCAGTAACTGATGTTAAAAAGGTCCGTTGCATGCCACAGTGTGTGAGATGGTTCCAATGAAAAACGGTTGCAATGTCTGTCTCTGTTTTTAGGCATGTCAGTGCAATTATTGCCTTGTGAATTGTAGACCATGTAAATAGAAAGGAATGCAAGCAGAAAGGTCATCATGACGTGCACCACTTTTGTGTTCTAAAAATGTAGCAACAAACAAAATACAAACATACATTTTGTTTTTTAACCTTTTTTCAAAATCGGATTACTTTGCAATACTATAGATTTATACTTGCCAATGTACTATCTATGTTTATATGTCTATGCTGATTAAAAGGCTCAAACCATCAGAAGTTTGACAGCCAAGATTTCAACTACATTTGCCCAGAAGTGATGTTACCACCAGTCTATCTATCTAAACTCTGTCTACATCCATCTCATCTATCACAAAAGAAGTGTAAAAAAGAATAAAATAGCCCAACCCATTGTATAAAAACACAGAAATATATACAATTAGTAGAAGTTTCCACTACTGGACTTGGGAAGTGGGGAGAGTGATTGCCCCCCCTGGTGCCCCCCATGTTCCCCATTGCCCCCTAGGGTGCCCTTCCAGTGGAAACAACAAGTTAAAGTGCCCTCTGTGGTACCCTTCTAGTGGAGAAAATGCAATGAAGTGCCATCTATGGGGTGCCCTTCCAGTGGACACACCAAAGTTTAAGAAATTAAATTAAGAAATGCATCGCATTTTTCTGAGAGCTGTTGTCCTTTTAATTTTTTTGCCCATGCGCCCCACCACTGGAAGTTTCAGTATGTTAGTCTTTAGTTACTTTAATACATTTCAATTTAATGGTTAACATTAATTTATGTGCCTTGTAAAATGGTTCCCAGGATATTATTGCTTTAGACCATTATGTGGTTAGTGGATCATAAACGAAGGGTTTGAATTTCTCATTAAGCCAAGGTTCCAAAGGTTTGCAACATAATAACAGGGAAGTGGTTCTGTTCATTTGAGCTGCCATCACTGGTTTGGGGGTGGGTGGGTGAGCCACTCAAACCACTGGCCTCCTGCACAGTACACACGGTCATTAACAGTCAAAATGTGTGGTGGAGATGGCCGTTTGTTGCAGTTTACATCCCTTTTTGTTTTCACTCTCTACATGTGGGGATTTTCAATTAAGAGCTTAAAATCAAATATGCAATATTATCTACTGTCCCCTCGGATTCTAGCAGAGAGCTTGGACAGGACAGGGGAACAAATATTAAAACAAAACCTACTGAAATGGAAATGAAGGTAGTCACTTTAATATGGTTTACATAAGTCAGTGAGGCCAAACCTCTATGCACGACTAAAGTTAATCTTTTATTACCTGGACAGTGATGTGTGTGTGTGCACAGCTTGCTTTCCAAAGTTTTAAGCCTGTCCCATCAGCCACTGCAGATAAAGAGTTAATACATTAAAACAAACAACATGTTTTGTCATGATGATTAGTATTCATTTTGGTAGAAACATTTAATATTTTGTTACTTTTACAATAGATTTTGGCATGAACATGGGGACTGTCCTGTAAACCGTACTACAATAAAAATGAGATACATACATCTTGCAGCATAAACATAAAACACAACAGAAATGTTACAGTATGAAAATGTTCAGAAATACAGAAATGTTACAATAGACCATTTTCACAGCAGACATTTTGACATGAACTAGTAAACACAGTATTCCCAATGATTCCAGTTTCTGTTCTAAACAGTCAGGGTGCTGCTATTGTGCATGTTGGCCCACCAGAAAGAGACAACCTTAATTAATGTCATTGGTAACACCTGTGTTCATTTATTTAGGAGATTTATTTATTTCAGGTCAAAAAGGCTGATAAGAAAAAGAGCTGTACCTTTTACTGGGTGGAAGTGAGTTTAAAGGCCACACAGGTGGTTTCAATAACTGGCTGATTAGACCTCCGCTGAGGTTTAACAAAGGAAGAGCCATGCTTGGAGTTTTGTGATGTCACAAAACCTGTTTGATCAATAAGAATGATAATAGGGTAAGTTGTCCCATCCTAATAAGTGCAATAAGGAACAGGAACATGAGGCCGATGTCAATCAAGCCTAGTCTGCACACAGTCCCAAGACGAGTTCTAATCAGGTTATATCATTGAAAATAACTGTATGGTGTTGACTTATGGGTGATAATGGATCCTCAAAGTTGCCTACTGAGCAATGACAAACCGTCTGTCAAAGAAGAAAACAACTAGCCTTAGAAATATGTAGATATGGAAATTGAAAATTGCAGAAATGAAACACGAAAGTGGGATTTCAGCCAGACGAGTTTGATATAATATTGCAGGTGTAGAACAGCCAAATTACGGAGCAATAAAATTCCATATTTGTACCTCCAAGTGGCATATTTTCATATATTTGAGGTACTGTAAAAGCAGGTACAAATATGGAATTT